CGCTTTCAGAAAGCGAATCATAAAGGGGTGGCAAACAGGATTAAGAAATTGCCAATAATTCCGTGAAAGTTTTCATTTTTTCAAGCTTTATCTTATTATTTTATAATTCTGGTAAGCATGCTCTTGGAACATTCTGTTTCTTCAAACCGATAAAGTTATTTTTCATGAATTTTTTTAGCTTCGTAACTGTCCAAACATTTTTTATCTTTCTGTCACTTTCTTGTCTCGATATTGCACACACTTATTTTACAATCGAGTAATCACTCAATATTTCTTAGTAGTATAAAAATATTTGAAAAGACAAAATGTACTTGTACCAAATTTTCAAATATTTGAATCTTCTGAAAATGTTTTGTAGAAGTGTATCTACATAGTGATATGTGTACATCATAAATAATTTACTTGTACTAATGTTCAAACCTTGAAAATTAATTGTCGATTAAATGTAGTGTTACTACTTAGAATTTATATTCTGATAGTGATCAATTATTGACAAAAATTAATAATTAATTTCCAGTTTGAGTGGAAAACTATTTTTGCCAAACGAATAAAATATTTATCAAAGTCCAACGTAGAATTAATTACAAAATAATTGAAATATAATATTTAAGCTATTAATGCAATGTGTTTTTGCATAGTAAACATGTCAGAACTTAATACTGATCACGTTGACTCTGTAGAAGAAGAATTAGAAGTGGAATCTAACTACAAACCCCCACCAGAAAAAACAATAGAACAAATTCTAGAAACAGATAAAGAGGATGAAAGTTTACGCAAATATAAAGAAACACTTTTGGGAGAGGCAAAGTCTGGAGGTGTCGTTGTAGGTGCGCATTTTAATAAAAATATTTAGAATAAATCGTTCTAAAAAGAAAAAAACAAATGAAGAATGATGTTCTGATATTTTATAGATCCAAATGATCCCAGGAAAGTAATAGTAAAAAAGTTAGCACTTTGTGTAGCTGATCGACCAGATATGGAATTAGATTTAACAGGCGACCTCTCTCAGTTAAAGAAACAAACATTCGTAATCAAAGAGGGTGTTAGCTACAGAATTAGGATTGATTTCATTGTCCAACGTGAAATTGTGCATGGTTTAAAATATGTTCAAAAAACTTATCGTCTTGGTGTACCAGGTAAATTTTCCATCGAAAGATAAAATATCTATATCTTTTTCATTGCTGATTAAAAATTTTTAATTTAATATTTGTTTTAAATGATAAAGTAATATTAAACTATTATCTTTGATTTCTGTTCAATGCTTTCTGCTTTAGGTGTCACAGGTATTTTAAAAATAAAATATTGACAATTACTTGTGACTTAATATATTCACTACTCATTTGTCATGTTATCCTTTCAGTGGACAAGATGATGCACATGGTGGGTTCTTATCCTCCAAAAACAGAAGTTCAATCGTACACGACACCAACGGAAGATGCACCAGCTGGAGTAATGGCACGTGGTTCTTATAGTGTAAGCTCTTTGTTTACTGATGATGATAAACACGAACATCTAAAGTGGGAATGGTCATTTGAAATTAAGAAAGACTGGAAAGAGTAAGCTCCCTTTTATAATGGGAAGTCTTACAACGATTGCAATTAAAATAAGAATGCCAAAAGGGACTCTAATTTTTATAGATATTCAGTCATACTGCGATGCCATAATTGTATTTTTTAAGTAATAAGAGAAAGAGTAACATTGATATTTATTTAGATATTTTCCTAAATCATAAACCTTAAAAACTGAACAATTGAGTATATGGATATATACATATATACACGCACATGCTAGAGTATGTATGTGTGTATGTATACTTACATAAATATATGTATATGTATGTATGCACATACATTAAGTCACGTAGGTACTATTTTATAGTCATTTAAATTGTGCACATCAGTCAGTATTTAATTGCCTTTATATTGTGGTTATTCGTATATTCCTTTTAACTTTCCTAATTAAGACCAATGTAAGATTGTTTAGTATTATACTGTTAACATATTTTGCTGAAGATTACTATCTTGATTCAAATATGTCAAATGTAATTTAACAAACAATTTAATGATAAAGTGCTTTATCTTTTAGTATGCAAGATCGAGAACATTGAATATAAAATAATATCAAATTTATGTGTACACATATTACTAATGTAGAAAATTTAAATGGTGCACTC